AGATTGATGTCATTTTGTTAACAAAAAAAAAAAAAAAATTCTTTTCTATTGTTGATTGACAGTACTATTGGCGTTTGTTATAGACATTTTAATGTTGAACAGTGGTAGCCAATTAAGAGAAGAGATGTATGTTGTGCATGACACAATTTCATGTGGTGGCAATTGAGTTGATAGAATGATGTATGCAGTTGTTTGATGACGTGACAATCAAATTTGTATTTGACATGATAACAATTCAATTGAAAATATGCTAACTGGTATGAAGAGAATTGGTTAATACGACAAAATTTATGTAAATAGATATGAAATTAAACTAGTAAAGGACTTTAAAAAGGAAGGAGATTCTCTAAATATAAGAATTAATATGTGTAAAAAAATGTTGAAACAAAAAGTTTTAATTGAAGTGATAATTTTATATTTTGTTTCTTAAGAGAGTTCCCATGAGGAAATCGAGATACTTGGTCAAAATTTGATTTTTTATGTGCATTCAAAAGAACATCATCTAACACTACCAAACTGAAATTGTTAGCTCATTTAAATGTTCTATAGAAAAGTTAACCTATATCGACTTTTTAGTACTACGAGCTTATTACTAACACCAAAAAATACAGCATTAAAAACTGAAAGTGATCAGCTGTTTAAAATATTGTGTATTATCTTTTTACTACATCGACATAGGAAAAAAAGTCTCAATTTACCAATCGATAAGGTTCAACTTGTGAGAGTGTATCTGCTATCAAGCTTTAAAAATGTTGTTCACACTGATAACACCCATTTTCAAGAAAAATGACCTTGAATACTTTCTACTATTTTTCATTCATGAAAGTTTATATCTCTGAGAAATTAGAACTTCATTCTGGATGAAATAGCTAAAAGAGTTATCTCGAAAACCAAATGATGATAATTCAGATAGATAATGCTTGGGGCGCTAATCATACGCATATAATCGAAGTTCATTATTGATTGTGGTTTTGTGTTATATGGAACATTTTTCCAATAGAACATTTGACAGTCCATGACAAGTATATGGCCTCAAGCGATCAACCATATAGTACTAAATTACGACTAATAATAGACTTTTATTATATGTCTGCCATCAGTGTTCCAAGTCTTATCTATCTGAATGATCATTCTTTGATTCCACGAAAAAAAGTTTTTTGTCTTTTGAGACAGCTGTCTTTGTTATTCTATCCAGGATGAAGTTCTAATTTTTTCGATATGAAAACTTTTATGGCCGATGGATAATATAAAGGGTGGTCGAAAAGTTTCTTCATCTTGGAGTGAATTGATGATATCCACAACAAATCGATATATAGTTAATAAATCGATATGTCTCATTTTGCAAAAGAAGATTTGAAGCTATCCTCTGAAAAAGAAATTTATCAGACTGAATGAGAAAACAAGTGCTAAGAAGACAATGAATACCGCTCTATATATTCACTTATTCGAATGGGTTGACGTATTTTCAATAAAACAATTATTTATAGATAATGATTACGTTTTTGAAGATGATGATGCATCTTGTATTCACGGTACATCAGCTGCTAAAAAAATTAGTAGCAGCAGATATACTTGAACGTATCGATATTGATGGTCAAGCTGTCAAAATTGGTAATGTGTAGCAAATAGAAAATTTGAGAGATATTAAGCGACAATATTTAAGTCAATATGAAAGTAGTTCATTACATTATGTCCAACAGAAAATTATTGGTAGTTAGAAAAATTTTAGTTAACAAGAGATGTAGGACGCTGGTTAGTATTCTCAAAAAGTTAAAAGCAATCATTCCAAAAAACAAGGACAGCACATCAACAAATTTGATTTTTGATATTGTTACAAAACACCAATCTAACAAACTTATAAACAATTTAGATCTTTTATTGAAAAAAGCTTTTTTTTAAATTTTTCTTCGAAAAATATAAGACGAAAATATTCAATCAATATTAGTGAAATGACCGTAGTATTATATTGCATTTCGAAGTATCGTTTGTCTTTTTTCGAATGATAGAGATTTTCTAAATATAGAACCATAATTTCCAATAATTCTCTTATAAGATAAGTTTTGAACAATTGAAATATTAATAAAATTCAAAAATAATAATCATTCTTCATTTAATTTATTATCAATCATGTTCTTTTTTTTTCTTTTTTCATCTGACTCTTTTCATGAAATAAAACAAAAAACGTACTGCAACAATTTTTGCCTCAAATCGAGACAATAACACAAGAACAAACGAAAAAAAAAAAGAAGAAACCACACACTTATAGACTTACACATAGACGACTCTCTCTCTCTCTCTCACACATAAAACATACACATATACAACGGAACAAAAAAAAGAGAAGAAAAAAAAAACTAATAACACTTACCACTACGAAAATTTCAGTGGACTTTATATCAATCAACCAAGAGAAAGAATTATTTTTATAGAAGAAAATTATTATTTATATATATATATATATGATATGCGGAAAAGACAATAACACATTAATAATGACAAAACTAATATGTATATATATATCAGATCTACATTAAAGTAATAGAGTCGAAGAAAATATTTGAATGGCACACACTAAAGAGTTCCTATAGAATCATTCATACACATTGAAATTTAATCAAAAGCACTACCAAGTAATTGAGTATTACCCGGTGATTGATGTAATGGACAATAACGTAATGTATGTGCTAAATCTCCAGTAGCACCACATTTTGGACATATATAAGCACGTAATATTGGACAAAGTATTGTACCTGCACCATTACGTAACATATGAGATCGATAAACTTCAAATGATTCACCATTTTCAAAACAAAATTTACATTTCATTTTAATACCTAACATAAAATATAAAGCACGAGCATCTGTTACTTGTTTAGTCATATCTAAAACAAACAAAAAAAAACATAAAAAAAAAGGAAATTTTGTTTTATTTTTTTTTGTTGTTTACCAATTTGTGCTCGTTTAGCAATAAATTTTTTATTTCCATTTAAATCATTTGTATCATCAGATTCAGAAAAAATATTTGTCATAGAATTTGATGGTGGTGAATAATCAATTAAATTTGTTAAATCAGTGAATTGTTGATGTGAAAATGGACTATTCATTGTTCGATTATTTTGTGATAAACAATGTCTAAACCAAAAAAAAAAGAATTTATTATGAAGATTTTTTTCCAATTCCAAAATTATGAAACTTTTTTTTTTTCGAACTCTCTAAATCTCTCAGATCAAAGTCCAAAGTCTGTGCAAATATCTATTTTCACTCGATTTCATGATGTAGAACTGAAGATCACGTTATGGATGTTCTCTTTAATTTTCTGAAGCGTGTTGAAGCTTCTAAAATCTTGAAAAACCATTAGAAATTTTTCAACGAAACTATTCTTTCATCTGATCTGGAGGAACATTAAGTGCCTGAATAAATAAAAAAAAACGCAGCTCTCTAGAATGAACTGTATGTAAAAAAATTTATTCGAAGGTTTTTTTCTTAAATATTATATTAAATTGAACTAAACATGCAAACACTATACATTAATAGTAAAGGTTCATGACTACAGTCTGTAAGATTGATTCCGAACCGGATAGACTCTGAAAATTCTAGACCTAAAGGACTCTAGTCGTTTGAGAAATATGCGGGATGCACTAGTCATTGAATACAGAAATCCGGCAAAATATCTCGTATCTTTGGAATGACTATTCAATGTCAATTACGAAACAAGTTCGAGCAGTTGGGTCTCGGTTCTAGAGTCTTTCATGCGAGGCGCTCTACTCATGACCGTGTATCCAGCTGTACTCGGCGCGACATAAAAACTAATAGATGGCGCCACTTACCACCACTGCTATGACCTATATACTAATAATGTTTTCAACCTACTTCAGAGTTTAAAGGAGAAACTACTTAAAACTCTTTGAGATTGAAAATATCTATAAAGTAGATATCTAAGATGACATTCTGGTATAGTTATCTGAAAAATCATCTATTGACTTTTTTTTGAAGAAGGATGGAGGCTTTAAAAATCAACATTCTTACCGTGTAAGAAAATTTCCATGATGACAATGTTGTTGTTCTTTATTATTATTATTATTACCATTAATAGCTAAACGAAGATATTGATTGTTTAAATTAGATGAACCTGTACAAAGTAATGGTGATGTATCACCAAAATCTGAATCAAGTCCTGGTGATGATAAATAATCAAGTTCATTAAATAATCGAGCAGCAGCAGCAGCAGCAGCATTAGATGATGATGAAGATGATGATGATATTCCTCCACTTAAACCAGAACCCATTGGCGGTGTTGCTAAAACTTTTTCCATTATACCACGTACAACATTAGCAGCAGCTAATGACATTGGTGCATTACCACCACCACCACCACCATTTGAACCTGATGAAGAATTTGATACTGATGAACCAGTTGATATTGTTGATAAACTAGTTAGATTATTATTATTAATCATTGATTGATAAGAACCTATGAATAAAAATTAATAGTCTTCGTTAGTTTTTGTTTTCTTAGTTTTGCACTTACTAATTGACATATTGAAAACGATTTTATGCTGCTAGATATTGGTATATGCTCGATGAATGCAAAAAAAATAACGAACTGAATTGAATTATTCTCGAAAGAAAATTATCGAACACGAGAGAAGAAGAAAAAAAGAAGGAGATTCACTATCACTCTCTCCCATAGTATATATATAAAGACAGTTAACAAAAGATATATGTTGTCCACGTGTGAATCATTTTTCTAGATTGAATAGTCGGGAAAATATAGACAGAAGAAAATTCTATCGAGGGTTCGAAAATTGAACTTTTCAAACATTTATTCAACCAAAAAAAAAGAAAATCTTCAATTTGTTTAATAAGAATTATTTAAACTAATATGTAAATTTTCTAATTCTCTTGCTAATTATTTATTTATTTTAAAATTTAAAATAAAATATTATATAATAATAAAAAAAAAAAAATTTTATTTGTTCATTTTCATAATTTTGTCTGTTTTACCATTGTTGAAGGTATTCAGTTGACTAGAATGAAAACAAATAAATAAATATTTATTTATTTATTTTTAAAATAACATACAGAAAATCGATGATGAAGTTTAGCATGTTGAACATGTCGTTTTATTCTTGTTGTTAAAGGTGGCGGTCGACTAATATTAATTGTATAGAAGAAAAATAAAAACACATTATTATTTATAAAATACTTACGGATAGATATCTCGATCTCGTTTGTATAAAGATTGATCACTAGTAACTAATTTAGTACGACGCATAGGAATACATGTACATCGTCCATGTTTATTATCATGATGTGATAGACGAACAGGGATATGTAAAGTTGCATATTCAGGTTGTTGAGACGGTTTAGTTATTTCATTTAGATTTTGAAATGATTGACGTCGTTCAATGAAACTTTGACGACGTCGAGCTTCGTAGAATTGTGCTTCCATACTCATGGTTATTGTCTGTTGCTTTACTTTCAACTAAAACAATGTGACGAGAACACTGAGAACAAACAACAATCTTCTCTTTTTCTGTTTTAGTTTCTATTTTCTCTGGCCTCTGTAACTACAGATGTTGTTGTACATTGCTTTGCAACCAGAAAAAATTTATGATGTAGACATTTTGTCTTTTTTGTCGTTGCCATTTGAATGTATTCTCAAGTGTGATTCGAACACAAAAAGTTTGTTTTTTTCAAAATTTTGCAAATAATAAAACTATGAATTCGTGATTTAAGAAAACATTTTGTACTAACCAAAACTCATAATAGCTTTTAATGAAATTTAAAAACATGAATTGCCTTATACTAAACTTCATTAAATAGTTTTTGATAAATAGAATTTTCTCGTTTAATTTCAAAGATGATTTAACATATTCCTTGACTTTGTTAGATATCATTTGATCTTCGAAAAGTTCTATTTTATTTTTTCTCTTGGATTGTTACACAAACAATGTAAAATGGAATTTTTAAGCAAACTAATTTTTTGATTCCATTACTATCTTTTCATACATATAAAATAAAATGCATCCTTTTTTAAACTACAATCATAATAACATTGTTGAAACAATGCTTATCAATTGATTCATTCTAGAAAATAAAATTTTAAATAACATCAGATAAATACTGATGAAGTAACTTTGATTAAAATAGTTTATTTGTTTAGAACGTTTGATTGATATCGAAATAGATACAATTCGTGATAGAAAATATAGCACCAATAATATGTAGAATGAATAGTTATCAATTATTTGTTGTTGAACTTGTTATTAATTGTGATCGTAGATGTTTTAATTCATGTTCAAGTTCTTTGATACGTTTTCGAATCAACAATTTTTCATAATTTTCTTTTTTCGATCGTACACCACCATTCGGAGAAATAAATGGCATTTGTTGCTGTTCTTGTTGTTGTTGTTGTTGTTCATATTCTTGTCGTTGCTGCTCATTTATTTTTTTTATTTTCTCTTTTAATTGATAAGTTGTTGTTAATAATTTCGGAACATTAACAACATGCAAATCCAAACTATCACGCCGAGTTGAATAATGATGAAGTCTATTATATAAAAATAATTAAAGATTATTATATGAAAAACAAAAGAAAAACACAAACCGTTCTCCAACATTTGTAAATGAATCATTTTTTTGTGAAGGATACGCTTTATTATAAACATCATTTGATGCATTCAATACGGCATATACACGCTAGAAGAAGACAAACAAAAAACACAATATTCTAATATTTCTATTGAATTCTGTTTACTTGAGAAACAAACAACCAACCCGGCCATTGTCGTCTTCGCCAATATGGCACAGCATATTTAAATATTAACCATTCTAATATAAGTATAATAATTCCGAGTATCATACCAGCTACTAATAACATAAATACACCAAAAAATCGATCAACGGATAATTCTCGATTCTAAACAACATTAAAATGAAACAATCAATTGTTCTTTTTTTTTTTTCTTCTCAGAATGAACAATGACTTAGGGATACAGATGCATGGAACCAATATTTAGAACTTTGTTGAAAAGAGAAGTTGATAAAATCGAAATTGGAACTAGGAGAACAAAAAAAGTTATCTAAACCGAAACTAAAAAGTACAGTTAAATATTCTATAGTTTCGATTTAGTTATCTTATACATCATTAATCAGAATATAATTCAAGACAGTTGATACAAGATTGCCAGCCGTTGACAAAATAAATTAAAAAACGAATAGTAAAGAATGTTTTTGATGCCATATGAAAAAAAAATTCAGGATAGCTTTCACTAGACTGAGACCGGATCAATAATATTTGACCCTGCACATTTCTAATCAGTTATTATTTGAAAAATATCTTATAAATTTAAATCTAGGATTATCTCTAACTTTTTTTTTTCTATCAATAATAATTACCTCATTTAATAGTTTAACTTCACAATGTTCATAAACATACCAATCATCATGAAGACGTTGAATAATACCTGAAATTTTCTTTTTTTTTTTTTTAAATATAAATATTTATTTATTTATTTTTACTTTACCTTTATCAACATAAGATAATAAAATATTTGTTATTGTATCTTTTAAATCTGTATCAAATTTTGAAAAACCTAATGATAAGCCAAATGTACCAAAATTATCATCACTAATACGAATTAATTTATAAACATCACGTGTTAAATAATATCTTGCCATTGAATGATCCATAATAAGATATGTTATTATATGACTACGAAGTAAATCAATACCTTGACCATAAGATGATACATATTGTATATGACGATAAAGCGTATTTCTATGAAATCTTTTTATATATTCTTCATCACTAGTATTTGCAACAACACCTACAGTACATCGAGGCATGTTACGACATACATCCTTAATTAAGAAATAGATAAATAGAATTTATATGATATCAATTGAAATATCTTCATTGAAAATGTTTGAAAAAGATTTTGAGACATTGTAACGTTTTTTTTTTTCTTACATGGAATTATTCGTTAAATATTGATTAGTAGTGAACGAATAAAAAAACGATATTTACAGATTTATCTTATATAAAACTCTGAAATTGAATCAACTCCTTATACTTCGAATGTTCACTGGCTCAGATAATCGTAGAAATACTATTAAACAAAATCGAACTGTGTAATCTACAACTGATTGTATATTTGTTATAAAGAACTCTATGAACTACCGGTTGCTAAAAAACAAAATATTAATCTGCTTCATTGCTCGGTTCTCGATAAACATGATTTACAAAGTCGAAAAGTTTGAAAAAGTAAAAGTTTTTGTAAGTATAATACATCTTGAAAACATTTTATACAACATATAAAGATGAAAATTTTTACTAGTGAATCAAACATATTTGACAAGTTTCCCCATAGCTTATCACATAAGACATTCTAAATTTTTGAATATTCTCTCTAGCGACTATTGGAACGAAAAAGAAAATCATGCAATATTTATTGTCAATAAAATACTCTCATTGGTTATATCGTCACTGGTAGAATTATTAACCATTGGATATTCAAAAGAGTAACTTGGATCTTGCATATCTTAGATATTGTGTCAACTATGTAGTTGCGTATACATGAGTGATTTATGGGACTGTTTTAGTTTCAGAACAACATTTTCATATAGTTTAAACTGCTTAAATTCTTTCAATCGAATACTCAAAGAACGTCATAGATTGTTAAGAATATTCTCAAAACCATGTTCATAGGTCCGTTTTTTAAAACAAAGTAGTCTTCACTAGTTTCTCTAATCTAGTAGAAAAATTCAAAGATGAAATCGATCTGTTGTTTTTTTGAAGACGAGACTAATCGGTATATCTATCCAGCTACTCTGGATCTATTAACCAACTCATCATCTAAAAATACTTTGTATTTTAATTATTTAAGAGCATATAAAATGTGACATTGTAGGATATTGTGTATTCAATAATTAATGTTATAGATTTATTTCAAACTTACGATTATGCCATGAATATTATTTGCAGTATCTGTTCGAGCTGTATCAACCATAAAAGCAGCTAATTTGGCAGTATAAATAGCAATAAATACAATACCAAATCCACCCCATACCTAATAAGAAATAGACGAAGATGATGTTGAGTTTTTTTTTTCTTTCTTTGAATAATTTACATTGCCTAAAAAACGATTTGACCAACATTTAGGAGATTTTGTTTTGAATGTATGTGAAAAAACAATCGACCAACTAAGCGTTAATGCTGATGCTAAACTAAATACTTTATGTCGACGACGTCCTTTTGGTGTTAAACTAAAAATTAAACACACACAAAAATAGACTCATTTTTTTTGAAGAATAGTTTTTCTTTTTCTTTCATTTATATTTACCCATAAGGACTATGCCATTCAAAAAATATTTCAAATAGAACCGTAGCATTTAATACTAAAAAAATCATACACCATGTTGTCCATGAGAATGGTTGTAAAAAAGCGCCTAATGATGGTCCAGTTGGTGTTGGTACAGTTAAAATTACATATGATGAATGATAAAATGGTGGACTTAAATCAATTGAACGTGCTAAAAATGATTCATATGGAATTGCTGATATAGATACTTGTGCTCGACTATGTTGTAATGCTTGTGTTAATGCTAACCATTTATTTGGTTTATCCATAAAAACAAATAATTTTGTGGCTTTTAATGTCGTTACTAATTTTGAATCATCAATACGTAATAAAAGATTAATTGATATACCATAACAACAATGTGGTGTTGTATTCATTTTTGAATGAATAAAAGGTGCATCAATTGTAAAATTAATCGATGATGGATCAATTTGATAACAATGTATACCATAATTACAATGAAATTCAGATGAAGTTTGATCATCTGACATAAATATATACGGTGGTTCAACAACACCAACAATAACTGGTTTTTGTAATGGTGTATCAATATGAACAAATCGACAATCATTTTTTCCTTCATTTGATAATTTACCAATCATTTGATAATAAGTTTTTATATCAACAAGAGCATTTGATGATGATGGTGATGATGATGATGTTATCATACTTGAATTATCTTGATGAGTTGATGTTGAACTTTTACGTGGTGATGAACTTATTGGACGACACGAACGAAATAATTGATCAGCATTACTACTCTTTGAATAGTATATACGAAAAAGCATACCTTGACATGAATGTTCTGTATGAACCTAAATAATTCAAATATAAAATTTGAAAAAAAAAACGAATCATTTTATATTTACTAGAAATATTGTTGGAACACGCCATGCAAGAGTTTCAGGTTCAAATAAAATTGGATCAACACCAGAACCAACTCGAATCTCACAATTCCATTCAGTAAAATTTGTAAATAATCTTTAATAAAAAGATGTAGAACATTCTTTAAATAAATAACAATGAATCAAAAGTGGTATGATTAACAAAGTTTTAAAAAAATACAATGTCTACAATATGTTTTGCTCTTATA